ACCTATATAGAAATAGAAATTATATATATAAACAAACCAACCCTCCAACGCACTGCTGTTGTTCTGACTCCTAGTGACCCACCATCGGGTGTCTGAGGTTGGAAATCCCTTTTGGGGGAGACTGCCTCTCTTCCTCCCTAGGAGTGGCTGGTGGATTCGAGCCCCTGCCCTCTTGTTTTCAGCCCAGCGTGCTGTGCTCCGCCCCATCAGGACTCCTTGCCCGACTCTAACCCTGACGCTGTGTGAAGCTGAAGTGAGACTGTGGCTCACTCTGACGGCTTTCTCTCGAGGGACCCGCTCTTGCTCATGTGGGGGCTCGAACACCTGTACCAGGTGGACTTCCTCCGCCGTGGACTGCAGCGGGCCGGTCCTCCCGGATGAGACACTCACACGGACAGTGGGGCAGGTCGGCCAGCAGAAGGGGCAAGTGTGTCAGAGGTGCTGTGAGGGAAGGCGGCCTCCCTGCTGCTTGGATCCTTCTTGAGCCAAAAACCTGCTGGATCATGTCGGCGCCGACTCGGGGTGACCATACGGGGTACAGAGCATCCAGTGGCTACAACTTACAGGAGTGGATCGCCAGGCCTGTCTCTGTGCTGCCACAGGGCAGGTTTGAACCATCCACCTTACAGTTGGTGCAAGAGACAGTGGTTTGTCCCAGCTGGGGGCCTCGTCTTCTGGATGGTGCTGCAGATTCATAGCTTCAGATAAATACACATTCATGGGACACAGAGAAGGAAGACAAGGAGCCCCCCCTTGGGACACTCCTCCTGTCTAGGAGAGGGCCTGACCCCAGTCACTAGGGTGGCTACAGTGTGTCCCTTAAAGCACATCTTGACATGAGTGGCTTGTCATGGGCACCTGGTTCACTGCTTATCCACCAGTTGGGGTAGGTCATGAGGGAGAACCTCCCAGGGCGTGTGCCCGCTGCCGGGCATTCCCTCTTGCCCGCCTGGCCTTTTTAACACCATCTCCTTCCCTCTGCAGCCCTTCCGCTGTGCCCATTGCCATTACTCCTGCAACATTTCCGGCTCTCTGAAGCGTCACTACAACAGGAAGCACCCCAATGAGGAGTACGCCAACGTAGGCAGTGGAGCACTCGCCGCTGAAGCCCTGGTCCAGCAAGGTGAGACCCCAGCCCCATGCCCCTGGCCCCATGTCCCCGGCCCCACACTCCCGGCCAGCACCCCAGCCCGCAGAGCCGCCCGGCTCTGACACCACCGTCCCATCATGGATGCCGAGTGGGCTTCCCTCGTGACCGTCCTTATCCTTGTCCTCCCAGCCTCCTTCTTGTTCATCTCCATCCCCCATGACCTGGATAAACTCGAGTAGCTATAACAGAAAGCTACGATAAAAGAAGTAAAAACGTACCCACATATTAAGGCTGTCCCCCAAATAATGGTCTTTGTCCCTGCATAGAGCTGGTAAAATCCGTGGCTTACCTTCTTGGTTTAACATCACAGCATGAATGTTTCATTTTGGAGAAGTGTCTTTTTCATTGTATTTGAGCCCTGGTGACACAGTGGGTTAAGCGTTGGACTGCTAGCTGAAATCTACCAGCTGCTGTGAAGGAAAGTCTGTCCCTGTAAAGGTGACCGCCTTGAAGCCACCAAGGGCCACTTGTACTCTGCCATGCTGTTGTTGTGTACTGTCTAATCACAACTGACCCATAGAACCAACCCATAGCTGACCCTCCAGTGGATTTTCAGGGGCAGTAAATCACGTGGGAGAAGATTCTCCATCTTTCTCCTGCAGAGCAGCTGGTGGATTCGAACTACATACCTTTGTGTTGGCAGTGCAGTTCCTTACCACTAAGCCACCAGAACTGCCCCAGAGATCCTCTGTCCTGTAGGGCCACTATAATCAGCATCCACTGCACTGGGGTTGATTTTGGGTTTTTGAGATGAGGCTTCAATTATATTTTTAAGAGTGGTTGTAAAGCAGCATTGAGGGGAAGTACCCCATTTATTTAGCCATTTGTCTGTCTTGGAACATTACGGAGTTCTCAGATTTTTCTGGGTTTTATTTTTCAATTATAAATAGTGCTGGGGTAAGCGTATTGAGAGATTAGCTTCTTTGGATTATCTACAAATAATTACTGTGTCCTCAGATTACTTATTTATCCTGAAAAGGAAGAAGTATTGAGAGCATTTGAACTAATGAGACTGACCTAGACCTTGTACTATTGAATTGTTCTTCTGCTTCTTCTCTTTGTAATCACGCACTTGGGCTGGAGGAGGCCCGGCTCCTGTGCCGTGACTGTATGGGGAAGGCAGTGGCATTTGTCTCTGAGCTTAGCTAGCTCGGCTTCACGGGGATTGCAGCATACGCACGCAGACGCTGTGTTCGTTCCCTCCCAGCCCCGTGACTACTTGCGGCAGAAGCAGGTTTTAGAAACTCAACCTCCAGTAAACAAAGATGCGTGGTTTCAGCTTCCCCCACAGCTGGCGAGGCTCGGTGTCTCGGGCTCGGCTTGTCCCCACGGAATGCTTCTTAATGTGCAACAGATGAACTGACTAGGTCCCTCCGCACTGCCAGTGACGGGGCTGATGCGTGGAAGTAGATGAGCAGCATAAAACACGGGATGATTTTAACGCCGTCCATCTGGGGCGAGGGTATGCGTTTGCTTTAGATTTCTTTCCTGGCCGTTTAAGGAGCGGAGAGCAGGAGGGTGCAGTGGAGGGGGCACCTGCCACTTCCATGGCTGCACCCACTGGGCAGTGCCTAACTGACCTGCCCCGTCAGTCTTAGTTGTCTAGGGTGCTGCGACAAACATATCACAAGTGGGTGGCTTTAAACAGATGTACTCTCCCACAGCTTTGGAGGCTAGCGGTCCGAATTCAGAGGACCGGCTCTAGGGGAAGGCTCTCTCTCATTCAGATGACCGGCTCCTGGGGAAGGCTCTCTATTGGAATAACACCGTATCTCCTTGCTGCCGCTGTGAGCCTGGCATCTTGTACCTCTCCCCATGTGTCTTGGCATCAGTATTTCCTTGGGTTTAGGAGAGTTTCAGCACATGGACTCCGTGTCCAAAGGATGCACTTGGCTCCCAGCTCTTCTTTCCTGGTGGTAATGAGGTCCTTCCTCCACTCCTCCCTCCCCTCTACTGATCTCTTATATGATAAAAGGTGATACCCCAAGAAACCCCACTGATGAGGGATCATGTGACCTGCTTAGGACATTGCATCATCCTTCACCCCCTTGGCAGTGGCTGATCATGTCATGGGGATGATATCATTACATAACTCCCTGACCATCAAGAATCATGGCCCTGCCTAGCTGACCATATCTGGGGGGCACAGTTCAATCCACAACTCTGCCTTAGGACCCTCATCTGTTCAGTGGAGCTCACAGCAGCGTGGCACGTGGGGGTTCTGCCAATTAAGTGAAAGGAACCATTCAATACATTTTCACATCTTCTTTTGTGAGTTTTCCCCCCTGAAAATTTTTGAGATCATTTTTGGTTGTCTCCCTGTCCAGAAAGCAGAGAAGAGTTGCATGGATTTGCTCTTAGCTCAGTGAACAGCTGCAGTGGTGGGTCAGGAGGGCTTCTGAACGGCCTCCCCTCTCCTGAGCTGACTGGCAGGGGAGGCAGCTCCTGTGGCTGTGGGGACCTGCGGCGGGCATCTGTCTGATGTCACTGCCATGCTCCATTGCCCCTCCTGTCATTGTTCACAGTGTGTGCTGAGGAGGAGCTGTGTCACACCCTGCCTGCCGTCCAGCTTGCTATGATTGGAATCAGTTGACATTTCCAAGTCTTGCTTTTACACTGAGTCTTTGCAAGGACAGCTTTTGGTTTTATATTTATATATAGAGAGCGCTCTGGTAGTCTAGAGGCAGGAAGCTGCACTGCAACCTAGAAGGCACGTAGTCCGAGTCCACCAGCTGCTCCGTGGGAGAAGGATGGGCATTCTCCTCCCGTGTGATTAACTGCCTCTGAAAACCCACTATATATACACCCCTCTATCCGCGCGCGCGTGCGCACACACACACACACACACACACACACACACACAAATTCTCCAAAGCTCATGCGTCGTCATCCAGTCGACTGACTCGCAGGGACCCTGGAGGACAGTGCCAAGCCCCCGTGAGTGTCTCTGAGGCTCTGCATCTTTATGGAAGTCGCCTGCCTTGTCTTTCACTGCAGAGTACCTGGTTGCGTTGAATCACTAATAGTTAGTGTCCGATGCTTTAGCGCTGCACCCCCAGGACTCTGTGGACATGTATGAAACCAGGCCCTTCAGCATTGAGTCACCTTATGTGTGTGCACATGTGTATTTGCAAATATGTATTTGCATACATGTGTATGTATTTCCCTGCTGTCAGAGGGGCCTGTCGATGGGGAGAGGTTTTGTGCCATTAGTTCTTAAGGGCCTGGTGCCTTTGTGCTGTGTATTAGCACAGTGTCTGGGACCAGAGAGCTGGTCGAGTAGGAACACACTTCAGTGACCTCAGAGCCTCAGTCGTGCAAAGCTCTGGCTGTCTTGTGCTTTGGAAGGAGGAGGAGAGGAATCAACATGGACTCATAGCTGACCCTCCAACCGGTTTTCAAAGACCAGAAATCGCATGAAAGGAGATTGCCCATCTTTTTCCCACTGTGCAGCTGATGGATTTGAACCTTGTGCCTTTGAGTTGGCAGTGCCCCTCCCTCCCCGCTGGGCCACCAGAGCTACTGTTAGGTTGTATTACTGTGTTGGAAGCGCTCAGTTGTTTGGTGCCACTAGAATTTTTCAGTTTCTTTTGATTAATTTCAGACTATTCTCCACCTCCCAAAATAAAGTTAAATCAAAATTCAAGAAAATAAAAAATAAAATATTTCTCTTCTTCTCTCTACCCCAGAATGTATCTTCATGGGGCTTTGCAGTTCCTTGTTTGGATATAGAGGAAGATGTGTTAAAGTAATGACATGATAATAATAATTTTAAAAAAATCATGAGAAACGTAGACTTTCTTAAATGACAGTTACACTATTCTTTGACCAGATGCAGAGTATAAACAGTGTCACATGGTGACAACTCGCAGAACCGTCCATGCTGGGGCCGAGTCTCTCCTTTGTGTGTGGAGGTTGTCTGAGGCTGGTCGGGTGACTCAGTTCAGTGGTGTGGAGGAAGTGGGGAAGGGACTGGCTGGAGCTGAGTTTGCCCCTGGTCAGACATTTCCGTTCTTTGTGGGTTCCTGAGGGGGATTACACCAGTATATTCCATGGAGTTGGTATTTCTGGAGGCTCTTGGGGTGCCCTCATTGCCTGCAGTTCCCAGAGGCGACCTGTGTTTCTTGTCTCAAGGTCCCTTCCTCCAGCTTCCAAGCCAGCAGTGGCCATGGCGTCTCTTTCCTGTGGCATCCTTGTGCCCTTCCTCCTACCTTCCGCCTTCCCTCACCAGGGCCTGGGGTTACACTGGGGTCCCTGGACATTCTGGGCTACTGTCCCATCAGGATCCAGAGCATCTCGTGTCTGTGAAGCCCCCTCTGCCATGCCAGGAGATGCACACCCACAGTGTGGACTTTAGAGCTGACGTCTCGGGTGCCTGGTTCTGCCAGCCTCCGTGCCCTTTCCCAGGCTGTGGGCTCTGGCATCTTCTCGGTAGAGAGCCGAGACCCAGAGTTAAGGAAGAGTCTCTGAGTGTAGTGGGCACCAGGTTCAGTGCTGTCGCTGCCAAATCTTGTGCTCTGTGCCATCTGGAAGTTCTTGTTGTTATGTGCCGTCGAGTCGTTTCCGACTCATAGCGACCCTGTGTACAACAGCCCTAAACTCTGCTCTATCCTGTGCCAACCGCACTCCGACACACCCATCCCGATTACCCCAGTCACTGAATCAGTCCACCTCATAGAGGGTCTTCCTCTCCTGCACTGTCCCTCCACCCTTCTAAGCATGACGTCCCTCTCCAAGGACCCACCCCTCCTTACAACATGACCAAAGTATGTCAGACGAAGCCCCAGAATCCTTGCCTCCAAGGAGTAGCCTAGTTTAACCCTCTCCAGGATGAATCTGTTTTCTTGGCAGTCCAGGGTACATTCAATACTCTTCTCCGGCACCACAGCTCAAAGGCATCAATTCTCCTTCTCTCCTCCCTAGTCATTGTCCAACTCTCTGATGCATAACAAATGATTGCAAAGACCATGGCCTGTATCAGGCTCACCTTAGTCTCCAGAGAGACACCATTGCTCTTCAGTACTTTAGAGAGGTCCCTAACAGACTTTCTCATCGCAATACGTTTTTTGAAGTTAGGCTGTGGAAAATGCAATTGAATTTTCAGTATCGTCCACTCCCACAAAGGAATGCAAATACTGTAATGCCTCAGCTCCTCTGGAATATACTACATTCCAAAGAGAAGCAGAGGGTGCCACCATGGAGTTTGGAAATCGCTCCTAAAATGCAGTTCTTCTGCCTGGTCGGCCAGCCTGTGTGAGGAGAGGGCCATTTGCGGCTTTGAGCCCATAAGTGGTTTTTAGGGAAGGGACTTGGCACCAGTGCCATGGGTCACTTCACCAGGCCCTCCGTGACCTTGGCTGCACACTGCCCACACCTGGAAGGAGCTGAGATAGAGATCCGTGCCGCTCAGCCTTCATGTCCAATTGTTGTTCTTAATTAAAGTCACCATGGCAAAAGCTGACGGTTTAATTAATGTGGGAGCGTTATAATATTGTTTAATTTAAGGATACTATAAAGACATTTTCCCTGCCCAAATCAGGTTCTGTTAGCAAGTGTCCTAGAAGGAAGCTTTCATTTCACTCCTTCAAGTCCAGGAGAAGGTTTGGGAGCTGGTTTCTACTCACTGTAGCATATTCAGCCTTTTTTGGGAGAGGCAGCGTCTACCTGACCAGAGGAGAAGTCAGCACAATTCCACCACACCACAGGCATTTCAGAGGACAGTCGTAGGAAAAGATGTCGTCTTAGATGATCTATCAGTAATAACTAAAACCCAAGCCAGACCCACTGCCATTAAGTCCGACCTAACACACATTGACCCCGGGACAGAGGAGAGCTGCCCGGGGCCCTGCTCTGAGGGTACGAGCCTTACGGACTGGTTCCTCTGTGACCCTTGGAGTAGCTGGTGGGTTCAAACCACTGACCTTTTGGTTTCTACCCCAGAGATTAAGGTCACCAGGGTTGCATAGAAAACAACAAACAAAACTGAAAATTAATTTTATATCCTGGACAAGAACGAACGAGCCCATTTTATGTTATTTAAGATGGTAAAAGGAGTTCTGAGTGGATTCGGATACACTGGGTGGGTGAAAGGGTGGGCATGGGTGAAGGCCAAGCAGGCGCAGGGCAGAACAGTGTCAGGGAAGAACGTGGGTGACCCCAGGTGCTCGCAGCTTGTGGGATGACAGGTCGGAACCGCAGAGCCTCAAAGTTTGGGGAGTCTGGTGAGGGCGTGCCAGGCCCCAGCCCTGGTCATTAGGGCTGGCTCGGGCCTGTGCCAGGCTGCTGGATTTGGAGGTCCTGCAACAGGATGGGCCTTAGCTTCCTCACGCTGCTCTTTGCTTTTAACACACACTCTGTTCAAAGTGAATCTTAATCAGGTGTGAAATGGGACAGCTTTACACATACAGTCTTACGTGTAAATCTCCATCTTTTTTTTTGTAATTTAGAGTTTTGCATTCTCTTAATTAAAGCCTTGAACACGTCTGAGAACATGTGCACGACTGAATCAGTTCATTAAGTAAATCATGACAGTTAAGGCTGTGAGCTGCTTTCTGACGTGTTGTTTGCTGGCAAGTCCATTGGGCGGCGGGGTCACACTGATGACTTAACGTTTGAAGGGAAGGTGCCCGGAGCTCCAGTCCCCACTGTGAAGTCTTCTGAGATCAAGGAAAGCAGCCACTGAACTTTGGTTTCGGGTTTTGTTTTGTTTTCCAAAGTGTTTATTATTTACAAAGGAGAAAGTGAAACACCTGGTCAAGTCATTTTTCCACCCAGTCAAGGGAGTTTTCTTACTCATCTTACTTCTCTCTGGCACTTAAAATATGAAGCATATCTTGGACTCTGCCGATGCTTAACCAGTAAAGAAAAGCAACAATAACTCCCATCCACCCCACCCCAGCTCTGTGCTTTAAAATGTAAATGCCCACAGTCTTCTCAGGATAGTGAGGTTAGAGGGGAGAGCGGGGTGAGGGAGGAGGAAAGCCTCACTGGGCACTTGAAAAGATGGGGTGATCGTAGGTGGAGATCAGTAGTAATTATGTAAAATACAACGTGTGTGAATGAGTGTATAAAGCAGGGTGCACGTGAACAGAGTACCAGGTAAACAAAGACTGGATAAAACACGACTTACATACATGAAGAACAATGCCTATGGATGATTGTACGGAAACCAGCTAGAATGTGTAAAAGGAAAACGCGTCTGCTGTTGCTGTTCTGTGTACGTGCAAGGCGGGCTTGACTGGAATGTGAAGGGCCGTGGACACAGCAGCGGTGCGTCTCGGAGATCCGAGGCCTCTGGGTGGAGGGCGCGAGGCGGGCGTTGTGTGGTGCGAACGCACTCTCTGCCTCTGTGTTTTCAGGTGGTCTGAAGTGTCCCGTTTGCAGCTTTGTCTACGGCACCAAATGGGAGTTCAACAGGCACTTGAAGAACAAGCATGCGCTGAAGCTGGTGGAGAACGGAGGCGACTCCGGGTGGGAGGTGAGTAGCCAAAGCTCAGCACTGATCTAGCGGGAAACGAGCTATTCATAACGTGGGCTCGCAAGAAGCAGCGCCCCTGACGAGGAAGGTTGGCGGGAAGTGGCAGAGGGAGGACAGGTCCAGCAGATAGCAGAAGCCACTCGAGCTAGAACAGTGTGGTCTGGTGCAACACATGCACAGCCTAATGGAACGGAATAGAAAATAATCACATACGAAAGTTTCGTGTTGGATACCATCTCGTCACCTCTAACTCACGGTGACCCAGCCCCAGAGTGTGACCCTGCCCGCTCCTGTGCTGTCCTGCACTGGCTCCTGGGCTTGTGGCCGCGGTGGAAGTCACTGTCCCTCTGCCTCAGTGAGGGTCTCGTCTCTCTCACTGACCATCTACTTTAAAGCTGATGCCTTTCTCCAGGCATTGGGTCCTCTCGACAACATGCCCCAGAGCATGTGAGATGGAATTTCACCATCGTTGCCACTAAGGTGTGTTCTTGGAAGCAGATTTGTTTGTTCTTTCAGGAATCCGTGGTCTAATCAGTATTCTTTGCTAATGCCAACTTCAAAGGCATCAATTCTTCTCCCGTCTTCTTTATTCGTTGTCCAGCATTCAGATGAATGTGAGGTGATGGAACATTCCGTGAGGTGCTTGATTCCTTCTTAATCTTCAGAACGACAGTGGAGTTCTGTAGCACTTGGGGAAATTGTGTATGGTCAAGAATACTTCCTGAGTCAGTCACTTGCAGGGTCCCTGGGAGTTAGCACTGAGTTGACAGCAGTGTTTTGGGTTTTTTTCTGTCTAAAGTCGGTGGGGAAAAGTTGACCTTTCACATTATGTAGGATAGCCAACTAAGATAAGAGATAAAAATGACTCTGCTTTTCATAATCTGTATGATCCATTTCAAGAGGCAGATGCACACACTGTGATGTCTTACTAGAGACCAGGAGAAAACATGAGTGAATTCCTCTATAAATCGACCAGGAAACATTTCCACACTATAGTTCAAAATCCAGATTCAATAAAAGGAAAAAAGAGTTCTCAAAAACTGACTGCATGAACAATTTCAAAATACTTTATGGCAGGACAAAACCCTTTTTTGTATGAAGTAAAAAGACAAGTGACAGAAATCATTTGCAGTCTTACGATAGTAGAAATAGTACCATTTTCACAATAGAAAAGACCTATAGAAATAATGATGGAAAATTTCTACAGCCCAAAAGAAAGATGAGTGAGAGATAAGAAAGTCTGTGGTCCAGGAATGTGGCTTCCCTGGAGGAGGTGAAAACATGACTGAGCCCACGTTGAGTAAAAACAACGCTAAATTAAAACTCGACTGAGACAGAATTGTTTATCGACAGGGATCCGGCGGTTGATGCTGTCCCTGTTGGCAGGTCCGTGGAAAGAGTGCACACTCTCAGACATTGCCGAGAATGAAAATGGTACCACCCCGTGGAGGGGAAATTCAGCGATACCTCGCGAAAATGACAGTTTCCTTACCCGCTAGCTAAAAAACACTTGGGAGATGATCTCAGAGTTACAGCGGTGGATGGGAGGGAAGGCGTGTGCACAGGACTCTGCTGCAGCACCTGGCCGGGAGGAGCCAGTGTCTGTGTGTGAGATCGATGCCTGCATTTCGGCACTGCGGTGTGTCCACAGTGTAGAATCGTGGGGGCAAGGCTGTCCCTGGCTGCCTCTAGGGGGTGGATTCTGTGGTCTACCGGGCTGTGGAAAAAAGTGAGGAGAAGCAAAGTGTGTGTGTGTATGTGTATGTAGGTAAAATGGAAGGATAAATGAAAAACTTGAAAGGGGAGCATGCCTTTCTGGTGACACAGTTTCACATGATTGACAGTTCCACTGAAGGGTATAAAGGAGAAAAAGCTGATTTAAGTAATTTTGGAAAACAATGTTTTCGAAGGCTAAAGATGAAAAGAACTGTGTGAGTCTAGCAATCTTAGCAAATTGTCATCATCAATCAATGTGTTTCTCACAGGAGTATAGGTTAGCCGTTCTGGAATGACCGTGTGCACAGGACACTGAAGATCAAATAAATTCTTGTAGATAATAGAAACCAGAATTTTCCTGGTTAGAGGACTAAGTTACAGCTAGGGAAGAGACATAGTTAGAATGAGCCTAATAGTGCTGAATTAGAGTTATCTTTTTAATTATAGAACTCATTTATTAATATATATGCACATAGAGATAATTGTGAAGAAGTAGTTGTGTTGATGTGTGTACACAGGATTTAATTAGATGTGTGTGTGCATACCAGTGAGATACATGTCTACACTCAGTTGTATATGTATGTCCATGGGACTTAGTTAGATGCGTGTGTATACATGGATTCGTTATATGTGCACTTGTGAGCTAGTTAGAGATGTGTGTACACCTGTTAGTGGGATATGTGTGTGCATAAAAATAAGGGTGTATAAACGGATTCGTTCTGTGGGTAAGCTTGATATATGGGTTCGTAGGATGCGTATAGTTCCTAGCACTGCCATCCTGTAGCAGTGGTACGTCTGGTGTCCAGATCTTGGTTTCTATTGGCACTGCCCAGTAAAAGGACCAGCATTCTTTGAAGGGAAAAAAAAGCCTAAATGAGAGAAGTACATGATGGTCCTGGAGCATTATCTATGACTAGAAAGTGTTTTCCAAGAAGATGGCATATCAGAAGGGTACAAGAGGCAGCCTGAGTGTTCCCAGGGCCCAGCGCTGGGACAGTGCAAGGAACAAAATAATTGAAGGTGGCGTTAGCGTGTGGTCATGCAACGGTTAGTCGCTCAGGTGCAAACCAGAAGGGGCGGGTCCTTAGAATAAAGACCACGTGATCCACTTCCACGCAGGTGACAGCCTGGGAGACCACCGGGCAGTCCTACAGTGTCACGTAGGGTCACAGAATTGCTTGATAGCACTCAACAATTTCTAGTATCCAGATTAAGTAAATAGTTACAGTTCTATACGTATAAATTCCTATATATAGTTGAATCAATAAATAAAGGGAGGAAAATATCCAGTACAGTGTCTCCAAAGAGAACAAATCAGAAATGTGAAAAGAATAAAGAAAATAGAAAGTGATGAGAACCCAAATTGTTTTAGACACACAAGGACCCTGGCGGGGCCCATTGTAAGTGAGAAAGGGAGAGAATGTGCTGGAGGGGGGAGGAATTGAACTCCTCTTAGTTGGTTGTTTGGTTTTGACTCTATAAACTCTAGAAATATTTTACATAGTGAAACATAAAATAATATAGCAATAAAAACAAAATTAAACTTTAAAAAAGAGTAGGTCTTAGAAATGGAGAGAAAAAATGATTCCAGCTGTGTCCCAAGCCAGCGGCACAACTACAGAGATGAACTATTTCAAGAGACTTTAAAATAGAGTTTTGATTGTATACTCCCTAGTGGCATATAAACCAAGGGCAAAAAGAACTTGGGGGGAAAAGAGGAAAATTATGTGTTTACCATGAGCCTGCTGGTTGTGCAGGGACGATATTGTGATTCTGAGGTTTTTGTTTAATAATTGCAGTGGAACATATAAAATATGTGGAAGTCCATGAATTTATAACGAGGCTTGGAAGAAACAACTCATTAGTCGCCTTCATAGGATGCTAGGGAATCACCACTTATCTTGAGCTGATAAATAAAGGGTGAGGATGGAGCAATTATCCCACCCGTTCCAAACAAACTGTTGCTCAGGGTGACCAAATATTTGCTCAGGGCAGACTCCCCTTGGTAGACATGTTTCAGCATGTAGTCCGAGATTAGACCTGCAGGTTTGCCGTCTCCTCGCGGGGGTGGGAGTGGGCGCTGGCTGTGTGGGGTGACACGTGCCCAGCTGCCCGGCCCAGCTGGCAGCTCCGCAGAGGAAGGCCAACAGTGTCCTCCCGTTAAGATCTCCAGCCTTGGAAACCCGGTGGGCCACCGCTCAGGCAGTGTGTTCCATTTGTTGGTTTTAATGAAAGAAGATGGTGGTGCTCAGATGGTTCCCCAGTGGCTGCCGCCGTGAACTCGGCCTCCATACATGGTGAGGATGGCACCGGCGCAGGCAGGACTTCCGTCCGTATATGAGTCGGAACCACCTGGATGGCCTTGGACAATAACACTGACAGTGATGTCATAGGATCAGCACTTTGTACCCATTAGCGGGTCCAAGGGAGAAAGTAAGATCTTCCATGCAGACTTAGAGCTCTGGGAACCCACTGGGTGGCTGCCAGGAGTTGAAAATGACGTGCTGGCAGTGGGAATAGTACGGTTAGGAAGAAAAGCTTGCAGACCTACATTAAAGCCCAGCTGGTGAACACCATGGGGGTCACAGCGGTTCTGTGTGGACCCAGCCACAGGGGCTGCACGGGACTGGACACCATTTCATTGCACCCCACCACGTGACTTGAGAGCAGTTAATGCTGTCGAGGTAACAGTGCTTTTCACTAACTTCTAACCTCACAGCCCGTTATCTGTGTCTCTAACTCAGAGACCCACCCCAGCCCAGCAGCGTGCTTGCCCAGAACTGGACCCGACTCGGGCTTCTGTGTCTTAGCACAGTTTACAGGAAGTCCTGAGCAGGGAGGACAGACCACAGGTCACATGGTGACAGAACTGGTACAATCCAGACCCCTGGGCACTGGGTGAGAGGCCAGCCCACCCTGTCCAGCACGTGAACCGCAGGCGGGAAGGCCAGAGAGGGATGGGGAGCACATCTTACTCCACACAGCCAGTCGTAATGCATAGACCACATTAGAATTGATTTGAACCACGAGGCTGTCAGAAAATGAAATAGTTGGGGAAATTGGAGAACTTCCTAGATGTATAATGATATTAAAGAAGCATTAAGGGTTTTCAGTATGATGGTGGTATTTCAGTATTTTATTAAACTGTGATTTGGGTCAAAATGTACAGAGCAAATTGGTTTTCTGTTCAACAACTTACACACATTTTGTTTTGTGACAGTCATTGCGGTCCCGTGCTGCAGCTGCACTTGTCCCATCTCTCCCTTGTGGTTGCTATTTCCATTCTTTCTTTTTAAGTTGATAATAGAACTTCTTGCACGTTAGACAGCCAGTCTTCCACGTAGTTTAACAATCTTACTTAGACATTCCCTTTTGTGACTAACCCAGCAGAGCTACTGCAATTGTTTTTGACTGTTTTGCAGTTGAGAACAAACAATAGTGTCTCAGTCTTCCTTTAAGCAAACTCTCTTGTTTTCTTGATAGGCTATTCATGGGTAAGTTAGATAAACCTTCCAAAGTTGTTTGTAACTTCCTTTTATCATCAAAAACGAAAAAGAGATTCTGCTACACTTTTATAGAATGAAATCCTCTTCTTGATTGCATACTTTTAGATATTATTAAAACGTTACCAGTTTAAACACTGCAAGCAATAGTTCTTTATTGTTATGTGCCATTGTGTCACCTGTGACTCATGGTGACCCTATGCACAACAGCTCTAACCCCTGCTCTGTCCTATGTCAATCTCAACGTCTCTGACACACCTACTCCCATTACCCCAGTCACTGAATCAGTCCATCTCATCAAGGGTCTTCCTTCTCTGCACTGTCCCTCCACCCTCCCAAGCATGACGTCCTTCTCCAAGGACTTGTCCCTCCTTGCAACATGTCCAAAGTATGTCAGACGAAGCCTCAGAATCCTTGCCTCCAAGGAGCAGCCTGATTTCACCCTCTCCAGAATGAACCTCTTTGTTCCTTAGCAGTCCATGGTATAGTCAATACTCTTCTCCAACACCACAGCTCAAAGGCATCAGTTCTCCTTCTATCCTCTAGTCATTGTCCAACTCTCTGATGCATAACAAGTGATTGCAAAGACCATGGCCTTTATCGTGCGCACCTTAGTCTCCAGACTGACATTGTTGCTCTTCAGTACTTTGGAGAGGTCTCTGACAGCAGACTTTCCCAATGCAATTTGTCTTTAAATTTCCTGGCTGCTGATGCCAAGAGTGTTGAATGTGGAGCCGATCAAACTAAAGCTGTTAACAGTCTCAAGACTCTTCCATATATCATGATGCTGCCAACTGGCCCAGTGATGAGAATCTTTGTTTTCTTGATATTGAGCTTCAATCCATCCATATGGAATGCTGCAGTCCTTGACCTTCTGCAGCAAGCACTGAGGTCCTCCTCAGTTTCAGCAAGCAAACACAGATTGTTGATGAGTCTTCCTCAAATCCTGATGCCACATTTCTCCTCATAGATAATCTGTTCTGCATATAGAGTAAAAAGGTATGGAGATAGGTCACATCCCTGTCATACACCCTTCTTGATTTTGAACCATGCAGTGTTTCCTTGCTCTGTTCTGAGGACTGCCTCCTGGTCCAAGTATAGGTTTCACATGAGCATGATCAAGTGTTCTGGGATTCCCATTTTTCTCAGAGTCAGCCGTGGTTTGTCCAAACCATCAATGTAACACAGATAGACATTTCCTCTGGTATTCCCTGCCTTTAGCCAAGACCCATCTGACAGTAGTTACAATATCCTTAGTACCTCAACCTCTTCTAAAATATTTTAAGAGTAAAAAAGAAAAAAAAAGTTCTTATAAGAAGATAAGGTCAGTTGTTGTTGTTGTTATGTGCCGTCGAGTCGTTTCCGACTCATAGCGACCCTATGCACAACAGCCCTATAAGATCAGTATTTATTTAAAAAAAAATTTAGTACATTTCAGGTTTAATCAACGTGGAGGCCCCTACCTCCTTTTGGGTCAGAGGTTAGGAGTTGGGATTGCAGTTGCTCTTTTTTTTTTTTTTTAATTTTTTTTTTTTTTCGTTTTAGCTCCCAATATTCTTTTTTTTCCCTTAAAAAATTTTTTTTTGTCGCACATTTTCTCCCCCTCCCCTAACTCCTCTCCAGCCTACCCGTAATGCACCTTGTCTTACAAATAATGCCTCCTCATATAATCCTTTCCAACAGTTCTTCACCTTATCTGTTCTACTTAAGTGTTCGTTACCTAGTCACTCTTTTCCTATTTTCTACCTACTTCACCCATCTGTCCTATTTTATAACAGTGGCGTTGTATAGTATTTGTCCTTTTGTAACTGAGTTATTTCACTCAACATAGTGTCCTCCAGGCTTCCTCATGTTGTGTAATACTTTATGAGTTTGTTGTTTTTCAGTGCTGCATGATATTCCAGTGTGTGATTGTATCATAGGGTTTTTATCCAGTAGTTTGTTGTTGGGCATTTGAGTTACTTTCATCCCTTTGCTATTGTGAATGACACAGCACTAAACATGGGTGTGCATACATCTGTTAAACTGTGGCTCTGGTTTCTTTAGTGTATATTCCCTATAGTGGTGTTGCTTGGTCAAATGGTACGTCTGTTTCCAACCTTTTGATAAAGCACCAGGAAGACTTCCGTAGTGGCTGTACCATTTTATACTCCCACCGACAGGGAATACGATTTCCAGTTTCTCTACAACCTTGCCAGCATTTGTTGTTTGAGTTTCCATTCTTTCTGCTGCCTGAGCTTTATCCTTGGACAGGTGGTGTTCCATGGTTGGCTGGTGTTACATGCTGCCCTGGTCTCATGACTGTTCACCTGGCAGACTGCTCTGTGGCTCCAGGTCGACCCACAGGGGTGAGTTCAGCGCCAGGTCTGAAGGATGTCTAAGGAGCGTGGCCTCAGAGGCGTTCCCGTTAGATGCTGTTGATTGGCTATAGCTCCAAGCCACCCAGTGAACAGCACGTCACAACCTTGTCCACTCCCGAGCCCACTTCACGATCCGCACCATGGCCAAGGCCCTGGTTGCTGTCACCGTGTTGATCCGTCTCATTGAGGATCTTCCCCTCTTTTGTTAATAACTCTGTCTTTTTCAAACATGATGTCTTTGCCGGTACTGGCTCTTTCAGCCACGTCCAAAGTATATGAGATGAAAGCCTGACCATCTTCGACCCTAAGAAGCACACCAGATCTCTAAGTCTTAGATAGACTGGTGCATTGTTAGCAGTTCATGGCACAGCCAATCCTCTTTGCCGCCAGTACAGTTCAGAGGCATCGGTTCTTCCTTGCTCTGAGGCCCGGTGTCAGAGGAGATGAGAGGATTGGTTGTCATGGGGAGAGGCGGAGGGGCCGTGGGCGCGGGTGCTGGCACATCTCAGCATGTCCGTCTCTAACTAGGAATGATGCCCTCCTGTCCAGTCTCGGCGGTGGACGGGAGAGCTTGTCTGTTCCTCTGGCCTTTCAAAAGGGTTAACACTTGCAGATACATTTCTTGTTGGAAGCATATTCATTGGAGCCAAGGATTCCGCAGGACGGGCACCCCCAAAGTCTGACTGGGTCGTGTGGGTCACCCCATGATGCCTGGCTGCACTAACAATCTGACCTCCAGAAGGTCACTTAGGTGATGTGTTTTATTTAGCCTGCGACAGACGTTCCCGACGAGCCGTCCACCCAGTATCTCCACATCACTGCGGCCGAGGAAGATGTCCAGGGGACACAGGCGGCCGTGGCGGCCCTCCAGGACCTGAGATACACCTCCGAGAGCGGTGAGCGTCCCTCAGGATGTGTGAGAGCCGAGCTGTGCTCCACCAGTGGCTGGTTTTGGGGAGTGCGCCACCAGGCCTTCCTGCTGCTGCATCTCTGTGTCCACTCAAAGCCCTGCCTTGTCCAGATGGCAGCCGAGCAGGCTGGTGTCTGATTTTCCAGAAACATGTCTTCAGGCCTTTGGTCTGAAGTATCTCTAGATGGAGTCGCACCTCCGACCTTTCAGCTTGCAGCCAAGGCTGTTGTTGCAACATCCAGGGTGGGCTGGCAGTTTGTACTTGAGGAACGGTCACTGAAGTAGTAAGCTTGGGGTCCGACAGGTCGTGGCTGGCTTCAGGGTGTACCTGAAACCTCTCGCCTGAGGGGTGTGCTGGGGGGAGCCTGGAACGGTGCCTCAGGGACTTATGCAGGTGAGTGACATCTCTGCTCCCCCCATCTGCCGGGTCCTCTGCACCTTCCCTGATCTCATAGTTACTGTAACGGAGAGAGGAAGCGGACATTGCCCCGGCACCGTGTCATTGTGTGAACATGAAGATCACACAGTCATTTCCCTTTTCTTAAATTAATGATCAGGGCCAAGGTGCTGTGTCCAGTGCAGGCGCAGATGGCCTCACAGATGGCGCACACAGCAGGGGACACCAAGTAGCTGCCCTGATGATACGATTCCAGTCTTGGGAGAGGATTAAAATAGGACCCCAAGCTTCAATTTGTTTGGAATTGTAAAGCCTGCAAGTTAGATAAATGAGACATCTTGGCTCTTTCACCTGTAATGCTCTAGTGGCTTTTTAGTTTCAGTGTCAGGCTGCTAATCACAAGGTCAGTGGTTCAAATCCATCAGCTGCTCCTCAGAGAACGCTAAGGCTGTGTCCTTCCATTGTGATGTCATTTTAGGAACTCAGTGGAGGGTGTTTCTGAGTTGACCCAGCAGCACTGGGTTTGGGGTTTTGTTTCTTGTAATGTAATTGGAGGTCTTTTTGGAGTCGTTGTGTGGTCAGAAATGACCCACAGCTGACCTTCCAGCAGGTTTTCAAAGGCAGTAAGTCACAGGAGGGTTGATTGCCCATCTTTCTTCAGTGGAGCAGCTGGTATATTCGAACCATGTGCCTTTGCATTTGAACCATGTTCCTTTGTATTGGCAGTACAATTCCCAATGACTAAGCCGTCTGCATGTGCTAAAAGACACACTTTGTTCCCGGCCACTAGCATAAAGCTTGATGGTTCAAACCCACCCAAGGGTTGGTTTGGCTTGGTTTTTATTTTTAGGTTTCGGTTGCCACAGGAAGACTGACCAGACAGTTTAAGGTATTCCCCAATCCTCTGGGAACTTTTGTTTTGAGAGGAATCATGTGTCAGGGTCTGCATTCAGCCCTTCTGGGTTTGTGTGCTGGGATGTGTGGCATCGCTGCCCCGTGGCCTGCGACAGGTCTTCACTTCTCAGCTCATAAGGGTCGGATCAGAACCTTCGACTGTTGAGTGGATTCCAAGCCCTCACACCCTCCATCAGGTTGCTGAGGGCGTCGGTCGTCACAGGAGGTGACTGCCCATCTTTGACTTGATGTTCGAACTGCTAACCTTGGAGTTAACAGCCAGCACACTGCACATGACACCACATGGGCTCCTGCTAACCTGTGACGTGGCGCCGCTCTCCTCACAGCATCATCTTCCTCACAGAGTTGTTGGGGGCCTGAGGCGACTTTTGTCAGTAGGGGTGCTGGGTGGGAAGCTACACACCCACAGCAGTGGTTGCCCCAGGAGGACAGAGGGGCTGGGCCTGCCTTGGGGACTTCTGGTGCCTGCAGCCTCAGTGACCTTCGTCTCCTTCCTCCCCATCAGGTGACAGACTGGACCCCACTGCTGTGAACATTCTGCAGCAGATCATCGAGCTGGGCAGCGAGACCCACGATGCCACTGCCGTGGCCTCCGTGGTTGCCATGGCGCCAGGGACCGTGACTGTCGTGAAGCAGGTAAGGACCGTCCCCTCAGCGTCACTTCCTCCTTCCTGCTCTCTCCAAGGCCTTCCCTGGTCACAGGTAGAATCGGGAAAGAATCAGCCTCATCTCCTGCCCACTAATGCTTTGCCTCTGATGATAGCGGGCTGTGTCTGCACTCATCCAGAAACCTCATAAAGATTTCCAGAGTGTCAGCAGAATGCGAATGCATAGAGTTTGTTGAATGAGAACACAATTTGTTGTGTAAACTTTCACTGAAAACACAGTAGCAGAAATTCTTGTGGAATCCAGACTTCCTGGATCCATTGAGACTGGATGAACAGCTGAATCTATTGCCCTGAGACACTTCTTAAATCTTGACCTCAAACTATCCCCTTTACGTCATCAGGAAACCAGACAACAGTGTAGGTCAGTTTCTGAAGAATGTTTATGTTGCGCACGGTCATTTATAAAGGCTTATCTGTGTGAGAGAAAATTGTCACTAAATTAAAAATCGTAGCTGAGTCATTTAGGGAACACTGGGTCAAACTCTGTGGTGGTAGGACTCTGAGTCGCGATGGCAAGGCCAGTCACTCAGTGCACGGGACGTGGCCACTGTGATGAGCTGGGCCTGCAGACAGTTGCCGCATGGGTGTGTGTTTTGCTGTGAATGTTATAAACCACCGGGGGAAAAATATCTTAAACAGAGGAATGCTAGGGAGAGATTAACATGAAGTGGGCACATGTGGGCACATTGCCCATGGGGAGCATTGGTCGATGCTTAAGGCACCAGAGCCGGTGGGAATGAGGGATGAGCTGGGAGACTGGAGGGAGTTTCTCCCTATTGCTGTTGTTAAGTGCTGTCGAGTCATAGACGACTCATAGTGACACTATGAACGAAAGACCTGAAATCTTGTTTAACTTTGGTCCTTTCTCCACGTTCATAGAGTTTCCAGAGGCAAGCTATTTCAGAAGTGGATGCACCTCCTGCATCCAAGCTTGTTTTAATTGGGAAGCTTCACCAAACACTGTCCACCATGGGTAATCATTATCACATTTGACACATCATTGCCCCTGTGTGTAGCATCACAGCAGCCACAAGTTACCTCTGCAATGCACAGACCAGTGCTATACCACTTAGAAGAACGTCTGACAAAAAACAATTTAAACCAGGCCTGAGGGCCGCAGTTTAAAATCACCCACCTTGGGCTTGGTAGCATAACTTTCTGTCCACCAGGCCCACAGAGCTCTCTCTTTGTTGTTGTTATTATTGTTGTTAAGTGTCTCACCAGATGGGTCTTTTGAAGCCTTTTTATGGTTTCAAACATCACCTGACCACACTGACACAGAGTGACCGAGTGAGTAGGAAGAAATAACCAGTGTGTGAGCCAAGGTTGCTCTGTGATAATCACACACGGCTCCTTCCCTCATCTTTGGGCCTCTGTTGGGCTTCACCATCTGCTAAAATGCAGCATGCTGGGTCAAGAGCCCATCCTTTTCATCTCTCTGTACGTATCTGTCCATCTACCTACCTCCCACCTCATTTGGCAGAAGATTTCAGTCGGCTTACGCAGACACTTACAAGGTATGTCAGAGCCAGCCCGGGGGCGATGACCCCTGCAGGTGGAAACGCAGGTTTGTGGAGTGAGCTGCAGCGCAGACAGGGGGCCCTGCCCAGTTGTTAGCTCGTGACCCCTTCGCTCCGCCCTTGGCAGGGGTGCTGGTTCCTGGATGCGGGGGCGGCTGTCATGGTGACACCCCAGCGGTGAAGAAGGCAGAGCAGCACGTGAGACGTGAAGGCCGTGTGCTGGGCGCTGAAGCAGCGAGTGTTAGGAGGAGAGGGGCCGAGGGCTCTGGCGTGTGAGCCCTGCCAGTGGGGTCTGCTGCCCGTGGGAGGTGACATCACGTCTTCTCACGGATAGCGACTCTGTACAGCAGAACAAAACAGAGCTGTGCTGCCCTCGGCCTGCTGCTCTGAGCTCAGTGTTACAGCCACGGGACCAGCTCATTTCATCGAGGGTCTTCCTCTTCTCCACTGGCCCCCTGCTTTACCACGCTCAATGTCCTGTTCACATCGTCCAGATCTGCCTGTAAATCTGATGGTGAATTTTGTAACAGAAAACAAGAAGGAAACATGGTGGAGTTAGCATGAGGGAGAAGGGTGAGCCTTTCTCAGTCCTTACAGAGAAGGCGTTGTGTAATGTGGGCTCTCAAGTGGGGACCCCTGAGTAACATGTGCCCAGAGACCTGCCTTTGATGGATCGAGCGTGGGCTCCCCGTCACCTCCCTGTGACTGTCTAGCACTCGGTGCAAGTCGTCATGTTTGGTCTAGTCATTTCAGGAATTAAGAGGCTCTGGTTGTGCTCAGTGTTTCATGATCTGTGTGTAGACGAATGTCTGGAGGCCCTTCTCCTGACACGTGGTTCCTCCTGGGGCCAGTGTTCTGCATCAACTGAGAACAGGCTCATAAACCCGTACTGATTATGCTTTAACTTTCCTTTGTGTTGACAAGAGTGTGGTCTTCAGACTGTCTTACAAATGTCTTATGGAACAGCTCACTTGCATCTTGGCATTAGGAGTCCGAGGCTGGCCCTGGCCCTCCGGGAAGGGTCCGACAGGAGGAGAGCAGAACTCTGGAGGGGCGACGTGCCAGCTCCTTGGTGTGTTGTGAGGAGGTGCAGTGGACGCTGGCTTGTCTTCCTTCCAGGAGCAGCATTGATTTGCTGCTACCAGGACATGAGTTACTGAGCAGCAGCAAGGCAGCGATTTATAAGGTCGTGGGGTTTAGGAGACAGCTTAGATATGCCGCCAGGCGTCAGCCTGACAGCGCGACAAGGGAGAAGGCAGATAAGAACCAGCACAGCCAGCAAACACGGACAGCGTGGCCGCAGCAGGAGGCAGCCAGTCACTCCTCGAGGATGCTTCTCGTGCTGAAACCACAGGGCTTAAGAGTAATAATAGAGTGATGTTAACTGTTTACGTTTTGATTAACTGTGTGTAAAAATGTTTTGAAATAATGTGTATGTCCCAGTCACTTGTCCTGTCTGCCTGGCTCAGAACCTAAGCTGTCCAGGCTATTGGGTAGTGAGGGCTATGAGATTGATGGGTGGGTGAATGGATGTAGTCGAAAGATGGATGGTTAACTGGGTGGGTAGATGGACACAGTAGATAGATGGTTAACTGGGTGGGAGGATGGGTAGATGGTTAATTGAATGGGCGGATAGATGGCTAACTGGATGGGTGTGTGGATGGATGGGTAGATGGTTGATTGGATGGGTAGATGGACGGATAAACAGTTGATTGGATGGGTAGATGGATAGACAGATGGGTGAATGAATGAGTAGATCAATGGGTAGATGAATGGATAAGTGGATAGATGGATGAGTAGATAAGTAGGTGATTGGGTGATTGGGAGAGTAAGTGGCTGCCTAGATAGTGGCTAAGTTGACAGACATGACAAATGGCTGTAGATGGGTAAATGGGAAGTTGGACATTAAATTGTTCACAAGGAAGGGACTGTAATATCCCAGGTTCTCCTGTGTGCAATAATGTTTACTGAATTCAGTTAAATATCACATTAATTAAGCTTCAGTTAGATTCTTTATTGGATAAATTCGTTTTGAATTCTGTTTCATTTCTTTTAATTAACCTTTGGTTTAGATTTTTTGTTTGTTTCTTCCTCCAGGGGGAGGATGGTGTCTACTTAAGGAGCGTGAACTCCCTGCCTTCTGTTGTGTGGAGTCTTATGCTGTGGACTTTGTCTTGCTCCAACCTTTCTCAGTCAGTTTTATTAAATAGAATTGAATACCCTGTGCTCTTCACGCCTGGATTCCCCCATCCAATCCTGTAAATTGCTCCTGAAGAAGAAAATCAGGAACGCCTCATTGCCAAGGAGTGGGCGGGTGGAGGGGAGCAAATGTGTCTGAGAAGACCATTGAGTGGCGTATTTTGAGATCTTTTCTTGTTCCCTGTTTTATATGCATCTTCCACCGAAACAAGCCTATTCTAGGTTCAGGGGCTCAGCTCAACCCTCAGGTCCTTGGGCGGTAGGCAGCCCTTCCACGGAGTGCCAGCCCTCCCTCCCCTGGGCAGGAGTGAACACATCCTCCTATGAGAACTGCCAGCCGTGGTCGTGAACATTTCAGGAGGAACTTAGGGAGCCCTGGTGGTGCAGTGCTTGGCTCTTGGGTGCTAATAAAAAAGCAGCTGCTTTAATTCCTGACCACTTTACAAGATGATGGCGCAGTCTGCTTCGGTGAGATGTGCAGCCCTGGAAACCATGGGGGTGCTCACCCAAGCCCTGTTGGGTCGCTGCGTATGGGGTTTGGGTTAACTGTTGTTAAAGGGAGGCCCTTGTGGGAGAAGGATAGCGCCTCCCGTGTAATTTATTGTCTCTGAAAACCTGCTGGAAGAGTCAGCTATGGGTCGGTGGTGCCGTGGTCCCCAGCAAGGTGACAGCTGACTCGCAGCCTGCATGTCTTGGGCGCTCTGTGTCCACCAGCAGCTCTGCAGGAGAGAGATGGGCAATCTCCTCCCATGTGATTGAGTGAGACCATCGGAAACCGACGGAGGGTGTCTCACTGGCAGCCCTGACCCGGAGGTGCTTGCCATCTGCCAGCTGGCGTTGGAACCGGGCAGTGACTGTAATTCTGCCGCGACCACACACACCAGTCGTCTCCATGGAAACATACCCCTCAGCTTGTTGGCTTCTCTGATCTGGTCCCCTAAAGTCCTGTCCTGCTGGTGGTCTGTGAAGGATGGTTGGTGGGGAGATGTCCCTGACGGCAGGACTTCTCAAGTACAGCCTGTGGTTGATGGCTCCTCTCGCCTGTGACTCCCTGGAAGGGAGCCCGCCTGGGCCTCCTCTCCTCCGGCAGACGCTGAGCTTTGCTCGTAGCCTAACCTCACGATGGCACAAACAGGTGCTTCTCTGGCAGCGGTGGTTCGAATCTTCCAGAAGTGTAAACTTCCCACAGGCCAGCCACTGAGCCCTCCGTGGGGGACACTTTGCCTCTGACACACGTGGGTACTGTGTG